AGGAATATTGCAGTGTGTGTTGAGTTCAGGGACTCGGATGACGCTGATGCCAGGCCACTGAAGGTGGGTACCCGTTAACGGGGCTGCCATCTCTGCCATCACTGCCGTGTGCTCTGTGCCAGCCAGGCTGAGCAGGGCAGGAGGAAAGCACTGAGTTTCCAGGATCACTGGTTACATTTGCCCAGCTCATTTAGGGTGGCAGGGCCCTGAATTCAGCTCCTCATTTGTGTTGCAGTGCATATATGGCAAACCCGGGGGTCCTCTCCTGACAGCGAACGCGTACGCTGCCGTGCTGCACCACAACCAGAGCCCGGAGTTCTACGATGAGGTAAAAGCCAAATGTGGGGAACGGCACATTTTCCTGGATGCTACAATGCCAAGGGGCTTCTCAGGATACTTCTTTTTCCAGGGCTGGGTGAAAAATGGGTAAAGATAATCACCAGCCCTTTGAGCCTCAGCAGAAGGGCTCAGCAAAGCCAGAGCCTTTGTCAATTTTTAATGTCAGTTTGTTTTCTGCTGTCTTTACTGTCACGCTTTGTGCACTCCAATCACACACCCCCATTAATAAGTAATGTTGCAAATGTGATGAAAATGTTAGGAGTTATTTAAGATAAGTAAGAATGTGTCTTGTGTAACTGCATACAACATAACATTTGTGAAATGAAATAGAACTAAAATATTACTCCGCAACTAAAAATACAGTCTGATCTATCATGATATCATTTTAGATTAAAATTGAGCTTCCAATTCACCTCCATCAAAAGCATCATTTGCTTTTCACCTTCTATCATGTCAGCTGTGAAATTAATACAAAGGCAACATCGAAAAAACAGGACACCGTTGAAACTCAAGGTATGTTCAATGCTTAAATTACTTCTGTTGGAGTGTAAAAGGCCAAGATAAAACAAATGTAGGGACATGAAAAAAATATGCGATTAAAATACCAGCCCATCCGAATTGTCCTTTCTAAAAGCAACCTAATACCAAACCGTTGGTCTAAAATGGAATAAACTCAATGTTTTTAGTTTATATTAAAACTCAAATTGTTGCTGCAGTCTGACAGCTCTTTCTGTTTGTCCCTGACCTGACTTGCACGGATGTGCTGTTGTCAGGCAAATCACCAGTAGAAACTTGCTGTGAGCTCAGGATCTCAGGGCTGATCCTACCAACACCAGGCACACTTACACCTGGCTCCCACTGGCTGGGAAACCTCTCCATGGATCCAGCCCTCAAAGGAGCCATCGTGGGGCACAGCCATGGCTCACACACTGTTCCTGCCCCTCAGACCCACTCCTGCTCTGTGCTGTGTGTGACATTCATTCACCAGGTTAAAGGTGCTTTAATGACACTGCCGTGGCTGATTCCCTCGCTAGAGCCACTTGCACAGCTGCAAGTTTGGGCTTCCCAGGGTGAGACAGAGCTGTCTTTGAGCTGATCCTGCAGCCCTGTGTGCCTGCTGACTGTGTGCCCTGGTTGCCTCCGCAGTGGGATACGCCTGGGTGCCACTGCTGAAGGACGGGCGCATTGTCACCCTGGAGCGGCAGCTGCCCGTGTCCTCCAACCTCCCAGCCAGCTACCTGGGCCTTGCAGACCCCGAGTCACGCAAGGTAGGAGGGTCATTGAAATGGGCTTCAATCAAAAAGGAAGGGGAAAGTTGAGCTTTTGTTACCACTCTGAGTTCTGGGCTTCTTTTGGTGTTCTGCTCAGCTGAACAGATCTGTTCTGCAGCTTAAAGTTCTTAGGGGTGGGAGACAGGACACCTTTAATTCCACGTTCCCTGCTTATGCAGGTTGCAGAGATATTTTTTGTGGCAGGCTGGGCCGGGCTGTTGCAGATGGCACAGAGCAGGAGTGAGCACCTGCTCTGTGCATGTTTTCATGGGGAAAGTGGTGTTTGTGCTGGGGGTGAACCCCTTCTTTCACCCCTGTGCCTTCTGGGGTGTCTGCACAGAGCCACCATCTCACCCCAGTCACTTGAATGTTTTCTGTTCACAGCAGCCCAGTGTGGATGCAAAGTGGGTGGATGGAGCAAAGCCCCTGTTTAAAATCAGAATCCATTTGGACTCGACCATTTACACCCAGGTAAGTCCAGCACCTTAAAAACTTCCAGCATAAATGCAAAGGAGGAGATTGCAGTGCCTATTTTTGCTGAGCCATAGGTGATTTGGGAAAGAGGTGCCTGGTTTGCAGAGCAGCACTGAGATACTTGTGAGCAGCAGGGCTGGGATTGGCTGCAGGGATCTGCTCCTGGTCTGGATGGGATGAGATTGTTGTGTGAGTGAATGAGCCTAGGGAGAGGCTGATGTTTCCTTGGCCAATTGTGCTGTAACTGGCAGGACCAAGGAAACATCTGAGCAAATGAGCTGCTTCAGGGATGCAAAGAGAGAACAGCTGGTGGGTGTGAGAGGTTTCCCCAAATTGTAGAATCATTAACATTGAAAAGGCCTCTAGGATCAGCGAATCCAAGCTAGTATTAGACTTTTTCTTAAGTTTTTTTAAGAAAAGGTTCTCTGACAATAACAGAGACAAGAAAGCATCAGTCCTTGTTTCACTGTGAAAGCAGTTCAGGCTGCTTTACCAAGTCCTAGTGCATTCTGCTGTCTTACAGTAGTGGTGGACTTCTCTAAGCTCCACATGATGTGCTTCAAAGATTCCCAGCACAGGCTCTGGGGCACCTCCTGTCAGCACAGCTCCTGGGGAAATGCCCTTGGCTGGATGTCATCAGCTACATTTACATTCAGAGCAAATTGCTTTCAGCATCTGAGTCTATTTTGGAGCTTTACTGATTCTGTAGAGCACTGAGAGCAGCACAGTAGTTGCGCTTCCCACCAAATTACATTTCCAGATGCTTTTCAGGGTTAAATAACCCAGTAATTAAATTTAACCGAGGAGGAGGAGGGAGAGTAATGTGAAGGAGAGTCTGCCTCAGATGGACAGTAGAAGGGTGGTGATGCAGATGGTGAGGCAGTTTCTGAGAACTGCAGTTCTGAGAGGAGAGCTTCTGTTTCTCCAGGCCAGTGTTGGATGGGGATTGGGACTCAGGGTACTAAACCACAGGAGAATTTTAGCTTTGTGCTTAATATTGAGGTTAATTGGGAGGCAGGGGCTGAGCAGTGGATGGGCATGTTGGCAAAGACGGGGAGCAGTCCTGGGAGATGTCAGCTGGGGGACAGGAATGCCACTGGCAGGGACATGGGGCTTGCTGGGGACGTGGCCCTGTGCTGCAGGTTAAGTCACCAGATTTCTGAGTGTAAGTGGCACAGCGGGGGCTGACCAAGGTTGAGGCTGCTGCATTGAACTTGTTTGTCTCTTCCAGGACATGCACTTGCACAAATTCTTCCAGTACTGCCAGCTGGTTCAGGCAGGAGCCAAGGAAGTGCCAGGAGAGCTTGTGAAATACCTCAAGGTGAAGTGCCTGTGGCTGGGCTTTGTGTTTCACAGACTGTCAGCAAAGACCAGCCCCTGCCCAGGGGCCACACGCCCTTGCTGGGGCTGCTGCATTCTGCAGTGCCCTCACTTTTGCTTTATCCCATCAGATAGGTTGGTGTTTAACTGGAATGTCTTTCCAAGTCCCTACATTCATTTTATCTTGTCAGACGATTGTCTGTGTGCTGCTTCCCTCTGCCTTCCACAGAGGATAAAACAAGCAGCCAGCATCTCTCTGCCGTGCTCTTGGAAACGCCTCCTCCTGGTGGACTCTCACCCTCCTCCCTTGCTGCTCCAAGTTTGACTCAGGCCTTTAAACTGTAGCAAATAGAAAAAATAGAAAAAAATCCTTTTTTCTGGAAGCCCACTCAAAACAGGATTTTTTTTCACGTTTAAAAAAAAAGATACGTGAGATTATCAGCCAGTTAAATTTGATCAGAGGTGACCTATGACCTAGACCCAACTTTTTGGTAATCACTGCAGCATGAGTAAGGGCTTTGGAGCAGATCCAGCAAGGGCTCCTGCAGGGAATATCATTCTTGGCTATTTACAGTCCTTGTTTCCTTCCATGACTGCCTGTTTTTGGGAGCGCTGCTGTAGCAACAGCTCCACTTCCAGTGGTGGGGAAGTATCACCACAGAGTTACTTAATGTGTGTCAGATAATGTACAAATACTTTAAGAAATAGAAATAGCAGCAGGTTTTGAAGGCAAGCACTGCAATCTCAGCTTTGTTGTGAGCATTCTGCCAGGTCCCAGCCCTGCCAAGCCCCCTCCCTGCAGCCTGCAGACTGAGATGGGTATGTGCTCACCACAATGAGGGATTCTTAACCACCTTCACCTCAGTAATGTCAGTAATTTAAATAGCTAGACACAGATTTTAAAACCTGTCATTAGATTTGCAGATTTGAAAACTGAAAATGCAATGCATTATCTTTCCTAGAATAGTATCGTGAGCTTCAGACACAAGAGCTCTGTGAAAAGGTGGAGAGTGTATGCACAAGATGAACCTGGCCTTCCACAAGTCCCTTAAATCCCATTTTCAATAGCAAACTATGCTCTTTGAAAAGAAAAGTCTCACTGCAAGTCATTGGGCAGCAGTTTTTCATGCTCCGAAGGCATTTGTGGAAATGGGACTTTAAAAAAGTGGCACAAGTGATGAGAAAACCTGAGAGCAAAACTTTGGCCTCAAATTCTGGACTTTTCAAATCAAATAGTAGCATGTGACCTCTAATTAAGTCATAGCTGGAGCCTTTGCTAATGCCTGTCCCATTGCCACAGAAGTGTCTGAGGACTGTAAATGTTTAACATCTGCAAAATGTTGAACTAAAAGTGTCTGTGTTTTGAACATTTGTTTTAGTGTTTGCACGCGATGGAGATCCAAGTAATGATTCAGTTTCTACCTGTAATTCTTATGCAACTATTTAGAGTCCTCACCAACGTGACGCAGGAGGATGAAGTAGCTGTCAACTGCACCATGTGAGTGTGGGGTGAACCACCCAGTGATGAATGCAGAGGCACAAATGGCAGTGCAAAGCAGGGTCTGGTTCCCAGTACAGGCTGCTAAAGGACAGCAGCACTGACTGTCCCCTGCTGCTGTCCTCCCCTGGCTCATGTGGGTGGCATTGGGAGCATTGTGGGGCTCTTGTCCTGACCGCTGTGTGGGGAAAAACGCGGTATTTAAAAATTACTCCTGGTTTGTTTCTCGAAAGAGGAAGTGTTTGGTGGCTCTGGCAGCTGTTGTTGTCATCAAAAGGCTCCAGAGTGCCCAGGCGTGTCCCAGCTGCAGCAGCAGATGTGGGAGCAGTGTCCTGGTGCCATCCTGGCACGCCAGTCCCGGTGTCAGGAGCGCTGCCGGTGCCCCGGAGCTGGGCTGCTGCAGCTCCAGCTGTGCCAGCTGTGCGGGCTCGGAGCTCCAGCGCTGCTCCGGCGGCCCCGAGAGGGCAGCACCGGCCCGGGCAGGCACTGCAGGAGCTCCAGCAAAGGCACCTTCCCTGCCGGGCACCGGCAGCGGCTCCCTGGCACCGAGAGATGTGCCAAAACATCCACCTTCCTGCCGCAGTGCCTCCTCAGTGAGGTGCAAGGGGAAGATGGATGTCATCCCCTGGTCCCAGTGGATAGCGTGCATCCATGTGCCAGGAGCATCCTGCTCCCACGGAGCTGGAGACTGAGCCCTGCTCCCATGGAGTGGAGCTGGAGGCTGAGCCCTGCTCCCATGGAGTGGAGCTGGAGGCTGATCCCTCTCCCATGGAGCTGGAGCTGGAGGCTGATCCCTCTCCCATGGAGCTGGAGCTGGAGGCTGAGCCCTGCTCCCATGGAGCTGGAGGCTGAGCCCTGCTCCCATGGAGCTGGAGCTGGAGACTGAGCCCTGCTCCCATGGAGCTGGAGGCTGAGCTCTCTCCCATGGAGCTGGAGGCTGAGCTCTGCTCCCATGGAGCTGGAGGCTGAGCCCTCTCCCATGGAGCTGGAGCTGGAGGCTTAGCTCTGCTCCCCAGGGATGTGGTGCCTGTCACAGTCACAGCCCTGCACCATGTGAGGCGGGTCATGAGAACTCCTCCTTTGTGGAGCACTGCAGTTCCCCTCTGTTTGAACACCAGGGACAGAGGAACAGGTGACCCCAAGTTCCTTCTGGGTGACCAGCTCCCACCTTCATTTCCAGAGATTTTTATCAAAGCTTGGCCTGATGCTTTCTGGTTTGTTAGTAGCTTTCTGTTTAAGGGCATCTCTTTTCTGATCAGATTTTCATAGTGGAATTTAAAACTCACTTTATCTGTTAAATGGCTTGTAAACTCCTCCCTGTGGTTTGGCCTGTGGGGTCTGTGACAACATGCAATGGTTTGTTGTTCTCTCTGGCTGGGACTGGAATGTAAATCCCCAGTGCTGGCTGGGGAAACCAGGCTCTTGCTGCCTTGATCAGCCACTTGGAGTGCTTTAGAGGGCTGGCATGTTCTCCAGGGTCTGCTTGACCCTCCTGAACTGCCAGGCAACAGCCCAAAATATTCTAGTGCATCTAACAAGGAGCATATGATGTAAATAGAAGAAAAGAAAATAGAAGGAGGCTTCCAGAATTGATCAATTCTGGGGGTGGAAGCAGGTGTCAGATTATAACAATGATAGAGAATGTTCCATCTCACCTCCTCGTGCAAAGAGCCTGGAGTGCTAAAGTCAGCTGCTCTGGGCAATTCCTGGGCCAGCACTAAAGGGGAGAAGAGGCTTTGGCCACCTCACCTTTGAGTGCTTTGGCGAGGCTGGTGCAGCCACAGGAGCTGTGTGTGAGGGGTGCTGGCTGCACGAGCTGGTGCTCTGCAAAGCAGGCCCTGCCAGCAGTGAGGCTTTTGGGGTTGGCAGCATGGGACACGCGTGGCGGTGACTCCTGTGAGCTGGAGGAGCTTGCCCTCTCTCTGTGTGCTGAACACAGCCACGTTTCTCCCCAGGGTTCTCCTGCACATCGTGTCCAAGTGCCACGAGGAAGGGCTGGACCATTACCTGCGCTCCTTCATAAAGGTCAGTGATGAGACACCGTCCCTGCAGACTCCCTGCTGGCAGCAGGCACACCCTGACCCTGCTGTTCTTGCCCCAGTATGTCTTCCGAGCTGAGAAACCCAGTGCCAAACAGGCGAAGATGACCCACGAAATCCTGGTCCTTTCCATGGCCACCATCCTGAAGCAGTCGGCAGATTTTCTGGCCATCAATAAGCTCCTCAAGGTGAAGTACTGGCAGGGTTTGGCTGCAGGGGTGAGGGGAGGAAAAGGGGGTCTGGTGTAAAGCCCAACACTTAACCGCATCTAAACCCACTGCAGGGTTAAAGCTGCCAGGGTACCTCCTCACATCCACATCCTTGAGCTCTTCTCTCACAAAAGAGATGAATTCTTGTAGGGAGCCCCTGTTTAGGTTTATGGCAGGAGGCAGCAAAAGGCTCTTCATTCTGCCAGTCTTACTCCAGTCACCTGAAGGGTGGCAGACTGTGCCTCTCTGGGCCTTTGCAGGGCTTGCACCCCAAACTCTTCTGGTTCTTGGCAGGGTGCACTGGGATGCAGATAGGGTAGGTCTGTTCCCACCCTAAAACTGGCAGGACATATCTGAGTAGCAAAGGTACCTATTCCAAGCCAACTGTGCAGGCACAGCCATGCTTACAAAATGCCATTTGAATGTGAGCTCTCCCTCCCACACAGGTGCTTCCCCACACTGGGTATGTCAGTCATGTTCCATCCTGCTGAGAGAAGTAATAGTATTCTTTGTCCATTCTAGTACTCGTGGTTCTTCTTTGAAGCGCTGGCAAAGTCCATGGCAATGTACTTACTGGAAGAAAACAAAATCAAGGTAAAAATAAATTTGGTCGATGCTGCCTTACAGAACTGTTGCAAACTCCTCCAAAAGCTTTTCTGAAAATCTGCGTGACTCTTTATTTTAAGAAACACCTGCCAAGCTGAACAGCCCACCTTCTTTTTTTTTTCACTTCACTTTTTCTTCTTCCTGCTTTCACTCTCAATTGTAATTTAAAAATTCCAGAAGTCCTTAAGAATTCCAGAGGCTTGTGCAGCCTCCTTTTCTGTTACTACGTACTGCAGTTGCAGCCAATGCTCTCTTTGGCCACTGTTTTATTAGGGAGCAACAAAAAGAAATTCTAAAGAACTCGTGCTCAGTTCTCCCCAGCTGCTGGCTCACAACACTGAGCTGGGATGTGCTCTTGGTTTCAGCTGCCCAGAGGTCAGAGGTTCCCTGAGTCCTACCAGCACGCCCTGCACTCGCTGCTGCTGGCCATCATTCCTCATGTGACCATCCGCTATAACGAGATCCCTGAGGAGTCCAGGAATGTCAACTTCAGCTTGGCTAACTTCCTGAAGGTCAGCAGCTTCTTTTCTTCTCCCAGGATTTTAACTGGGGTGGGAAGAAGATAGGCAAATGAGAAATACAGAGCAAGCAAACAAATGTGGTTTACTTTAACTCTGGACAGGGTAAGCTTTCCTAGGAAAGAGACCTTCTCTTTTCAAGGAGACACTAACTCAGTATTCTACTGAGGGGTTTCAGGCACACCTAGCAACTGTTTGGAACCTGAAATATGTGTACTCTCATTTTAAATTTTTCTGTTGTTCACTGGAGACTTAAGTAAGGTCATCCAAAGCATTTCAGGGGAACAGGATCATATATGTTATGGAGMGTTGCAGCAACYCAGAGGATGAAAWCTGGCTGCTGACAGGATGGCAGCAKGGAGGGGATTTAGGATGATTGCTTTAATTTGTAATGGTTGGTCACATGTTACTATTTTTTCTCCAGCGTTGCTTGACATTTATGGACAGAGGATTTGTTTTTAACTTGATAAATGATTACATTTCTGGATTCAGCCCAAAAGACCCTAAGGTAAGCAGTAGGTTTCTTGGAAAGTGGTTTGCAGCTGTACATATCTATATCAGCCAAAGCTTTGTAGTGATTACTTTATACAACTCTTGGAGGCCTCTTAGACTCTTTTTCTGCAAAATCTTTTAGAGGCAGAGACCTCTTTGTTTGGGCCAAGAGCCTGTATCCAGATTACTTTAAAGTAATGTAAAGTGTCAGAATGAAAGGAAAGATTGGTTAATAAACTGGATGAAAAAGACAAAGAAGTTCCAAGTGACACCCTTATGCACTGACACTTGGGAAGAACAACACAAAAATTTGCCAATGATTAATCAATTTCACCAGATGCTATTTATTAGATTCTCCAATCCTTGTGCAACAAGTTCCACTGAACTGGAACAAAATGGGTCAAACCAAAAACATAGTCTGTGTTTGTCTTTTTTTAATCTCAGTTGCTGGTTGAATACAAGTTTGAATTTCTTCAAACCATTTGCAATCATGAGCACTACATTCCTCTGAACTTACCAATGACCTTTTCCAAACCCAAGCTGCAAAGAGTTCAAGGTATGTTCTTCCTTAAAGAGCTATGATTTGTTAGCCTGATGGCTTCTGACTAACTTTGGTTTGGTGTTAATGGAATGTATGTCCTGGTTAGGACATAAACCTCAGGAGAAGATGCTTTTCTGTCAGGTTTACATCATTTTATTGCAGAATTGTGTGCAGTCTGCCTTTTCAGTATTTCCCATATTTAAGTTTACATGGGACTAACAATATCTGGAAGACGCTGCCTGTGTTCCAGTAAATGCACAGATTGTGCAATGTAATCCTTGTTCTCAGGAGTGCCAGCATCCCCTGAGAAGTGGGTGTGTCATCAGGGCGTCCTGTGGAGATGCAGGAGAACAGATTGAACCCAGTGCCCTGCTGGCAGCTCTCTTTGTGGCCATCAGAAGGGGACCTAGGTTACCTTTTGCTTCCATATTGAGCAGCAGGAAGTGCATGGTGTGTTTGAGCTCTTTCTCAAACCTGCAGGCAGCAGAGCTTGAGTCTGTGCCTGTCCTTGGTGCCTACCAAAGGCATTGGTACCGTGGCACCAGTGCACATCCAGCTGCTTTTGCTGCCACTCGTGTCCTCTTTGTCCTGAAGCTGCCCAGCACGGGGCAGATGGGGCTTACAAGGGGCTGGGCTGAGGCTGTGGGCAGGTGGGGTGGCTGGGGCTCTGCCAGAGTGGCCATGCAGCCCTCACCAGCCCCCAGGAGTGCTGCAGACAGACTCCTTCTCTCTGGGTCCTCATGTCCCATCAGTGCTGCAGAAATGCATTGAAGACTGCGAGGTTTGGATGCCAATAGCCCAGCCAGTGCAAGTACTGGGGAGGAGACTGAGGTTTGGGATTCCCCCATGTAAAAGCCCTGTGGATTTATGATTGTGTAATTTGTTTTAGTGGAGGAAAGGGGATGTTTAGTTGTGCCTCAGGGTGGAGCCATAAAACTCCCAAAGTGGTTCCACACACATGCAGGTGCCAGAAGCAGCAATAAAGGAAATACCCCTTATTTTGGTGTTTATCTGACCCCTCAGAACTTTCTGGACCAGCTGCCAATCTTTTACATCAGTTTGGCTCCTTGCCTGGCATTATTTAACAAAGATTATTGCTAGAAACAACAAAGAAAACCACATCCACAGTGCTTCCATGATGCTTGTTAGTGGTGTGGTAACATCAGGATGCTCTTTGTTGGTTAACATTCACCTTTGTGTTTGTGATGGTTAAACTGAAAAGCTGTAAGGACAGCTCTTCTCCTGTGTTTTATTGTGACTGGGACCTACCAGCTGAGGTTCACACTGAGCTCATGGCAGCAGAGCTGCCCACCCTTGTGGTAGAAGTGCCTTTGCAGTGGTGTCTGAGCCCTGCCTGCCGTGGCAGAGCCATGTGGGGATGCATCTCCACTGGAAACTTGTCTGGCTGCAGGGACAGACCTGTGGCTGCAGGGGACAGCAGGCTCAGAGATAGAGAGGTACGAAGGGCACACGCTGCTGGTGTGTCTCACCTCTTCTTCAGCCTGTTTGGATGCAGAGAGGGGCTGCCCAAAGCTCTACTGCTCTGTTTCTGTGCAAAGAAGGAATAGCCCCCAGGGAGGTGCACAGAGATTTTCTGCAGCCTCAGCCAGTTTAGATGGGCAGGCTGGCAGAGCACAGCCCTGCACACACCTCCTGTTGAGTTGGAGTGCTGCACCTTGGAGCAGTGACTCTGAAACGTCCCACTAGTGCAGGGCTGGTTGTTAGTCTGTCCGTGCTGCCTCACGTGGGAACACCAGCCAGGGCAAGCCCCGAACTTGGCCTCATACCCAGCAGCACACAATTAGTTTTGCAATGTTGTGATGGGAAAGAATCCAARGGATTGACAGAAGCTGAGAGTTAAGCAAAGGCCTCACAAATAATATTAAAACATTACATACTATCCTGTTTTGCCACGATTTAGAGCATTACTTGTTCCTGTTTATTTTTTGCTGTCTTTTTATTTGTCCCTTTTCTTCTTACACATAATTAGAATTTTTTTCATTTGCGGTGGAACTGTTCACTTCAGTAGGTAGGTCCAACTGGAATGATCAAATCTTCTAATGTCAAATTAAGTATGCACTTTCCAATCAATTAGCTTGCATCCAACTAATGTAATAACCATGATGTGTGACAATTAGGCATTTGCTAACATCACTAACAGTGGAAGCTAGGCAGTGTTCCAGATTGCTCTGCTCACAGTGTGTTTACAGGACAACCCCCAGTCAGAAGCAAAGCATCCCCAGGCAGTAGGTTGTGCTGTCTTCCCCCATTTAAGCCGTCTCTGACTTAGAAATTACTCATTGGAGAGAGAAGCTTTGCAGAGCATCACGCTGCAAAAATCCTTCAGGTGCTGCTGAAACAGTGAGGGCTGAAATTAATGAACAGCCTGAACTGGAAAACACCAAGTTCTTTGATATGACTTAGCTCAGTGCTGGAGAAAACTGTATAATCAGTTCTGGCTGTATTGAAAAATCAGTGCACTGTGGAAGAGAGTGGTGAGTGCTGCTCGAGGCCTTTTGGGCTTACCTGACTGTTGTGTCTTGCTCTGAACAGACTCAGAACATTCCCCTTAACCACTGCCCTGCTGTTTCTTTCAGATGTAAACCTCGAGTACACTTTAACTGATGAGTATTGCAGGCATCACTTCCTCGTGGGGATGCTTCTTAGGGAAGCCTCTGTTGCCTTGCAGGACAATTACGACATCCGATACACGGCCATCTCAGTCTTAAAAAATCTCTTGATCAAGCATGCCTTTGACAACAGATACCAGCACAAGGTCAGGCCTACTTTGTTGGCTTTTTAACATAATGTTGTTGAGTTTTATGAAAAAAAAGCACGTATCAGAGTTTTAGCTATTGCATGGTGCACCAAGGGTATTCTAATTGSTTTTTGGGGAACTGCTGTAAATAACTGATAGTTATGGAATAACAGTAATAGCTCAGAAACCGTCTAGGAAATAACTGCTTGCATACTCATGCTGAATGTTTAGATAATTAAGCCCTAAGCCATTAAGGAACTTGAGAGGGTCATTAGCCAAGAGGTTGTTTGAGAAAATTAAGCCATGTTCTGGTCTTGGGCTTAAATTAATATCCTGTATTAAAATGCTATAATCAGGAAACAGAGCTAATCTCTGTTACAAGTCAGCTGCATGTTTTACTAATTAGTGACTCAGAGCAGAGGATCTCGATTCTCATGAGGTGCTGGATTTCCTCTGGGTGGATCTCAGCTTTCTTTGGTCACCTCAGCATGTGATGATGCCGAAAGAGGCTGGACATGGGTTTGTTTTATCTTGGTGCTGCTCCCTGCTGACCCATATGCCTTCCAAATTGCCCAGCTACCTGTGCAGACACTCCATGTCCTTGCTGTAGCCTAGAAACTTGTCTCTGTTTAGAGTTTAGATCCTCACATGCTCTGGGCAGGCTGCACTCCTGATTGCTGTCTGGGAACATGGATATTTCCTGGCATGAAGGGTGGGAGCAGTGGTCTGAATGTGCCTGGAGCTCTCCTGGACCCAGAGTCAGCTTCTCTTCCCTCCCTCCTCTGCCTGTTTGAAGGSCTGAGCAGGAGCTGGGCTTGCTTTTCTCTGCAGTGAGGATCCGTGACTGACTCAGGAGCTGTTTGCCCCCTCAGTGGGCAGCACTGCCCTGACTCCTCAGAAACTCCACCTGTCTTAGCATTGTCCCACGGGATATTTGTGTGTTTGTTGTGCTCCAGGCTGTGTGAGCAGGAAAYTGCCTGCAGCCAGGGCAGGATGGTGTCCAGGGACAACAAAGCAAAACATCCCATCACAAGCAGGACAGGCTGAGCATGTGTTGGCACAGCCAGGGAAACCCCAGCTCCACAATGGCTGAGAGAAGGTTTTGCCAAGCCATGAGTGTTTTCAAGATTTCTTTTATCTTTCGTCATACAGAATCAGAAGAAAAAAATTGGATTTCTTTATTGTGCAAAATGTTCCACTCAATTTGCAAGCCTAATTTATTTTTTTAACCTTTCAGCCAAATCCARAATGATAAATGTTTAACAAGAAAGAATTGGATGTAAAAGAGTTCTTCATTTAGAAAATGTCAACCCAACCATTTCTGATCTGTATCACTTAATCCAAGTTAATATCTTCCTACAAACTGCTTTCACTAGAAACATTTGCTATGGAGAATTCCTGACTGGAAGCAGTAGCCAGCACCAGCAAATGGAGCGAATGTTTCTGTGTCCTGGGTGTTGCACTTAAACATCAAACTATGCAAGTCAAGCRCCAGTGAAAGAGTTAGGAAATCCAGGATTTAGCTTGTCACACATCCTGCATGACTGGGAATGTTATTTAACTTCCAAAATCCCCAGGTGCCCCAAGCTTGCTGGAAGGGTAATACCTCTCTAGCAGCACTGGAAGTGGAGATGAGAAGCCAAACCAGCTCATGTCCTCAGACACCATGCACAGTGCGTAAATGCAGATAGATAGATRGGTGTTTTGGCTCAAGAGTTCCCTTTTTTCACTCCACTGGGAACCTGGGCTCTTACTGAGATTTTTCTCCGTGGTTGTGTCCAGAACCAGCAGGCAAAGATCGCGCAGCTGTACCTGCCACTGTTYGGGGTGCTCCTGGAGAATCTGCAGCGTGTGGCCAGCCGTGAGGCACTGACCTCCTGCTCTGCCTCCAGCCCCGTGAGTACAGCTGGGATGGCTCCATGTCTTCATGGTTTGGACAGTGTGTGCAGTGCTGGGAAAGGGGGTGAGTCGCTCCAAGAGCAGCAAGTTTGGGCAGAACTCAGCCCAGGACTCAGACTCGGACTCCACAGCTGTTCTGGGGAGTTGCCTGTCTTCCCAAAAGTTGTGTGTGGCTCCCAAGGGGCCTTAGCSTTGCTGATGAGATATTCCTCCTTGCTGGGGCAAAAGAACAGCAAATAGGACRTTTCTGAAAAACAATTCAAAATTTCAACTCAAGTGATGAAAGAAGAAAGGAAAGCACCACCATGACTAATCTTAATATGTTCTGCTATTCCTTGTACTCCTCCCCAAGGCCTTTGTCTCCTTGTTATAGAAGAATGGACATTTCTGTTTTCATCTGTTTTGTTTTCAAAAACTGCTCTAATTTGCCTTTTTGTATTGCATTGTTCCCTTCTATAAGAGAACAGGTGTTATGTTTTATTGGTCACTAAACCCTTATATTGCTTTACAGGCATCCAGGGATGAATTCATATGCAGTTTTCCATCCCCCTCAARCAGATCCAGCCTGATTGCAGACAAAGATGCAGGTAAATTAATTTTTCTAAGTTYGAAATTTCCTATTTATTTTTAACATAGCTATTACCAGCCTGAAACACTCCAAGCCCATTACCCAAAACCTAAAACAGTCATCTCCTAAAAGACCTCACAGAGTCTGCATGGTTTTCCCTGGATGTGATGTCACCCTAACTGTCCTTTCCAGWCTCTTCCTTTTCCAGTTTTTGACATGGGGCTTTGGCAAGCCCCATCTGTGCTGTCTGTGCTGCTCTGACAAGTGCAAAGGACATAATTGTGGGGTCTGTTTTTTTTTTTTTTCAGCCTGTGGAGCAGCCCTTCCAAATGGCCATGCAATGAAACGAGAGGACTCAAAAGGATCCCTGAACTCRGAAGGAGCAACCAGTTCCCCAGATCAGAGTGAAAATGTAATGTACCAGTGGCTGGGAAGAGCAGTGCGCAGTCTGCAGGCTGTGTTAAATAAGGGGGAGGGAAGAGGAGTTCCCTGTGGTAAGGCTCTCCAAAGAGTGCTTATAGATATCTCTGTAAACAAACAGATTGATGTTTAACAGAGATCAGAGTCATGGGTCTGGTATGCCTTCCCTCTTCAAACATCCCAGAGCCAAAAATAGAGCTTTAGACAAATTACTTGTTGAAAATGAAAGGCAAAATCGATGTGGAAATTCTCTGCTCCTGTGGCGCATTTATCTGTGCTCAGATGTGCTCMCCTTGTGTGGGTGGGTCTGAGCCTGGCCAGACTCCTGTGCCTGGTGCTGGGAAGTGGTTTCTACACATCTGAGAAGCAAAGCACTGTGGTGTGAGATAGCCAGTGACCACTGACTTAAGATAAAGTGCAGGAAAACCAGCGCAGGTGAATAACCACAGGCCCAAACGTGCAGAAGGTGACTCTGGTCCCACCACAGAGCTCTGACCCCACTGTTCAGGYAGGGTGTACTCTCCTTGGCAGATTGCACGCGTGGGATTCAGGGATTTGTGCAAACCAGTCCCTGGTTTTCCTCAAGGCACTTTGCAGATATCTTGGGTTGGYGTGCGTCGCTGATGCATCTTCAAAAGCTTTGGCCCTTGCAGCAAACAAGCAAAGATTCTGTGGGCTTGTGGCTGTGTCCTGACATGATCAGGAGAGGTGGGGCTTTGCAAGCTCTCATGCACAAATCACAGAACTGCAGGACAAGTACAGCCAAGCACTTCACTATCAGCAGAACCCTGAGTGTGTGCTCCAGTGCTGCTGCTGGGGTTTGCAGAAGCRGTGTTGCTTCCAGCTCAGCTCTTCCCCCATGGCCATTCATCTTCTTGAATGCCCTGAAATGTTTTTCAGAGTTGTTGAAAACAGTCTTTCTGATAGGGAATGCAATATCCACAAAACCATGTGAAAGCAGTGCCACATGGAGGAGCACAGCTTTGGTACTACTCTGCAGAGACATTTCTCATTGCCCTGCTCCCCTGGAGTGARTTGTGTCCTGAGTTGATGGTTTACCATGGTCAATAGCAATGCTCTGGCCATAGCATCGTGTCTCCAGCTCTAAAATGATTGTTTATTTCTGCTTTATTGTGACTCAYATCCACAGCTTRTTCCAGAATAAACAGCAAATAAGGYCTGTGRATCCCTCTCCAAAACATGTGAGGCACAGCTTTAGGAGAAGCATCCTGCCTAGGGATTAATTGTATACCTTTGTCAAAGGATACAGTTCAGGCAAGCACAGAGGATGARAAATAAAATTGATATAACTTTAGAAGCCATGCTTCCCACCACACAGTGCCCAAGCCTTTCCCACATAAATTGGCTCATCAGCAGGATTTCTCTTATTTTGCCTGAGTCACTAAGTAAGAGGAAAATGAAACACTTCCAAAAATCAAGAGGGGGGAAGAAAAAGTTCTTAAGATGACATTTTCTCCTTTTTTAATAACTGACATTTTGTTTTGAATTATATGTCTTTAGAAGGAAGTCAGATTCTTGCTTTAAACAGTAATAGCCAGTGAACTTCTTTTATAAGAACTGGCTTTAAAAATGTCTGGAAGCTTAGATGCTGCAGAGAGCAGGGGAAGTGAAAGCAGGCTGTTGTGTGTTTTGCTGGATAACCTATTGTTCACTGCCCAGGTATTTTTTCTCTGAGCAGAGAAAGGTTTGGTGATGTGCAGAGCCTCTGGAGCACAGCCACAGCCCTCCACGTCACCTGTGTGTCCCTGCAGATCCGCAGGAGCTCCCTGAGGAGCAGCRTGTCCCACTGCAGCCGGCTGGACCAGTTTGAGATCCGGACACTGCTCATGTGCTACCTRTACATCGTGAAGATGATCTCTGAAGGTTGGTACCTCCTGCTCGCTGAGGCAGCAGGAAACACAAGGAACCATCACTTTTAGTCTGTAAGGTCCCTGCTTTGAGTTTTTTTAAATCTCAGTGCACTGTTTTTCATTTTCTTTCAGATACTCTTTTGGCTTACTGGAACAAGTTCTCCCCCCAGGAGMTGATCAATGTCCTTGTGCTTCTGGAGTGAGTATCATGAGGCTGCTGCTCAAACACTGCATCTGTCTGGGAAGAATGGCTCATTAGGAGACCCCAGGACACACGCTGTCCTGGGCAGCACTCAGAGTCTCTGGCCAGGCTGTAATGAAATCCTCTTCCTCCCCTTGAGGAGAAGCAAGTGTATATTGAGGAAGCACGGTGTAGTGGCAGTCTCCTGTGCTCTCTCTGGGGTGTRTCCCACTACCTGTGGGCTCAGCCTCCCCATCACTGTCACAGCCTCTGCTTGACAGCAAATTTGTCGCAACAGATGGCTGAAAAGACAGGGATGTGCCATAGGGTTTGGAAACCAGTGTTGTGAGGTCAAGTGACATGTAAACACAGACCCAAAGTGCACAGAGAAGTGTGTCTGCAGGCAAGGACAGGGCAGGTTTCAAATGCTCCGTATCATACCTGATCTGCAGGATCTGTAACAGAAACATATTTCATTTCCTTCCTAGGGTGTGTTTATTCCACTTCAGATACGTGGGGAAGAGAAACATTGCCAGGTACCCCATCTCCCCGTGCGGTGTGGGGCCATCCCGCGCTCCCAGGCATGGCGGGCAGGCCCGGTGTGAACCCAGGCCGGGTGTGGGGCTCCGCTCGGCCATGCCCTGAGCAGGGCCCCTCTCCTCAGCCCCCTGCCCCTTCCCTCCCCTCCAGCTCCTGCATGCGAYCCCCAGGCACAGGCGAGCGCAGGTTGGCGGTGTCCCCCCCAGCCAGCTGCAGGTGAGACACCATCCCGGCTGCAGGCCTGCTTGCTGAGCAGCC